ATTCTTTGTCTGGGTTCACAGCCTGTGGCAGGATCCAGCATCTTGGGACAGGCTGCTGGGCCTCCAAAACCCCAAGAGGACCCACTGCGGTTGCTGCCCCCCACTTGTTCCCTATATAGGTTGCTGGCCACTGTGAGCCACCCACCAGTTTAATTTCCCACAATGTTCCAACACGGTGTCCCTCCAGGGAGCTCAAGGCAGCATGCATAGTTCTCCCCTTATTTAATCTGTACCACAACCCTGTGGTGCTAGGTTAGGCTGAGTGGCAGTGACTGGCCCAAGGTTACCCGGTGAGCTTCATGGCCAAGTGAGGGTTTGAACCCTGGTCTGTCGTGCAACACTCTAACCACTACACCACACTGGACTGGCAATGTCAAGGCCAGGGGTCAGCAAACTTACCCGCCTCGAGCCGGTGTCTCCAGCGCTGATTGCGCAGCGGGCCGGAGGGCAGGGGAGTGCGTGCCCAAACGTGTGCGCACAAGCTATTTCCGTGCTCCTCCAACCCGGAAGTGGGCAGCCGCGCAGCACAGCGCCGGTAAGAGCGGGTGGCGGGGGTTACCGTGGGCCGGATAAACGAGTCCCACGGGCCTTAGTTTGGGGACTCCTGGTCAAGGCTCTTTCTTATGGTTCTTTGTCTTTTAACTGGACTTGGACCAGACAGCCCTTCAAATAACAGAGGGTTCCTTCAAATACAAGACTGTCCTTTAACAGCACTTCAAAGAGAGTCCTAGGCATAGTAGGATATGTGGCCAATCTACAGGAAGTGCCCATCAAAATAGCATTTGTTTGTTGTTGTTTTTTATTATTTACAGTATTTCTAACCCACTTGTCACTGAATATTTTCAATCCCAGAGCAGGCAGGGTGTGTGTGTGTGTGTGTGTGTGTGTGTTTGTGTGGAGTAGTAAAAATAAACAGAGAAAACCAACAATATACAAAAGTTCCAAAAACCATGTAAACAGGTACAATAAGTGGCATATTAACACTCCATTCATAAGGCAAACAAGCCAAACCATGAGAAAAATTATTTCTATACATATGTATGTAAAAACAGATACCTACTGCAGGTAAAAAACAAACGCAAGACATTCAAATAGGTTACAGAACTCGTGGTTTTAGCAACAGCTCCCACCTCATTTTTCAGAATCCTAACCAGCAGGCGGTTTATGGCAGAGAGAAATCAAATTCGTTAATGTCCCCATTTTACAGATGGGCAAATATAAGCTGAAAGAGAAATACTTCCGAAATGTGGTCTGGGGCCACCTTGAAAGGTTTATTGCCCAAAAAGAATGTGAAAACCAGCTTCCTTAGTCCTGGTCCATAGTTTGTCCATTATTCTACATTGATTCAAACTTAGGAGGAGGAGTGGCAGGGGGCTAGCTCAAATGATTGAAAACGTGGAGCAGAAGCTTATTCAGAAAAAGACACGGGTGTTAGAGACTAGGGCACTATCTCTCTTCCACTAGTAGAAGCCCCACAGACTTCAGTTGTGTATTTTTTTTTCCCAAAACTATCAAGTTAAAGACTTGGTTTGGCTGCCTATTCTCCCATTGCCTAAGCCAGTAACATCCGCTGCTACAGGAAATTAGGTAAGTGACAAGATTACTGTCCTTGTAAAAGGGCAACAGGAAAGGCTTTATGTTCCTGTGTTGCAATTCAGCTGTTGCCCATCAGCAGTAAATTTGGCAAGGGAGAGGAGGCAGGGTTGGGAGGAGGGGGGAGTGTCTAGAGATCGGGCAGGCTAGAAACCCATTAAATTAAAACGGGATTGTTTATTGGACACGTTTCAAAGTGGTGCTGTTTGTATGCGCGCTGAGCTTTTAATAGTTCCACTCTGGCCGCTGCGGAGCTTTGTGTAACTCGGATCTTGATTTGGTTAGCACACCAAAATAGTCAGCCTTTTAAAATGTCTTGCTGCATCCAATGGCTGACGGAGCCATATGTTCCCAGAAACTTGGGGGTCTCCCTAGACCTCGCTTTGGGAAGGGAACAAATGAGGAAACAGACATTAACCGTAAGAACATAAGAAGAGCCGTGCTGGATCACACCAGAGTCCCACCTGGTCCAAGCATCCTGCTCTCACAGTGGCTAACCCAATGCTTACGGGAAACCCACAAGCCTGATTGCAACATTCCTCTCCTTCTCACGAGCCCCAGCAACAGATCCCCAGAGACACACCATAAAGGCTTTCTAGTAAAGGTAAAGGGACCCCTGACCATTAGGTCCAGTCGTGGCCGACTCGGGTTGTGGCGCTCATCTCGCTTTATTGGCCGAGGGAGCCGGCGTACAGCTTCCAGGTCATGTGGCCAGCATGACTAAGCTGCTTCTGGCGAACCAGAGCAGCACACGGAAACGCCGTTTACCTTCCTGCCAGAGTGGTACCTATTTATCTACTTGCACTTTGATGTGCTTTCGAACTGCTAGGTTGGCAGGAGCTGGGATCAAGCAACGGGAGCTCACCCCGTCTTGGGGATTCAAACCGCCGACCTTCTGATCAGCAAGCCCTAGGCTCTGTGGTTTAACCCACAGCGCCACCCGCGTCCCTAAAATACTGTTAGGCTTTCTAACAGTATTTTAAATGTATTATCAAATCACTTCTTCACTGTTTTATATGGTATTGTTACATGCCAACCCCAATCTCCAGGTGGAAGATTCCAGGGGTTGCAGGTGTGTTTACCAGAGTCTGTGTTTCCTTCTGGGAGAATGAGGCACAACAGAGAGACAGTGATCTATTGCTTATTTACACTTACAGTGGTACCTCGGAAGCCAAACACAATCCATTCCGGAAGTCCATTCGACTTCCAGAATGTTTGGAAAACCAATCTGCAGCCAATCAGAAGCTGCGGAAGCCGTGTCGGACGTTTGGGTTCCAAAGAACGTTCGCACTCACTTCCAGGTTTGCTGTGTCCGGGAGCCAAAACGTTCGACTCGCAAGGTGTTCCAAGGTACGACTGTATCTACAACCTGAACCCACGTGATGGGATTCCACATCTCCGGCGCAGCACGGCATTCAGAGAACAGCAGAAAGCCATCTTGCATCTCTTTGTTGCAGCTTTCCCCCTCCAGCCCGCATCGTGTTCTGCTTGCAAAACTGGCAATTTTTCTATTCGCTTATGCCAGCCACACCGAAATCCTGCAACCCTTTGGTCTCTTCCCAGCAACACACAGCTGGAAGGAGGGCTCTCCCCTCCTGGTCTGGCAGCGTCCACTCTCTCTTGATGGTTTCCTTCATGGGCCATTGCTGGTCTTTGTGCTTTATGGACTTTACTTACATTCATCTGGCCCTGCTCAGTTAGCCTGGCTCACCCAGAATTTTCTGTGTTTGGCACAATTTAATCAAACCTTGATTAATTCTAACTTTTACTAATTGCGTGCAACTTGCACCCACAAACCCCAGCACCCATGACCTGTAACAATATCTAGTAATATCTATTATATACATTATCATGTATTTTTTATCATTTCTATGATGTTCAGTATACAATTACATATTTAGGTTCTTGCATGTTATTAAAAATGCATTTTTTAAAAATGAAGTATTTTATGCATGTCTCAAAAAGTAATTATATTGTTCTCTTGCCAACAGTTCAGTGTTAGAAACTGTTTCATGACCTGCTGGGTGCTACTCAGATTTGGGGATTGTGGCCTTTTCACGTTTCTCTGCTACTGATTCCGTTGCCACCTGTTGGCCTTCCTTGAGACCCGGACCTTCGGGTCTCCCTTTCTGGAAGCAAATGCTTTTTTTCCAACTGTCTACATAGCTGCTCTATATTTAGCCAGAGGATAGCAAATAGATCTGTGATCCTGGTGCTTAAATTAGAGCTAAGCCAGCACCCCACTGAAATGGCCAGGATCTTCCTTGCTGAGTACTAGAAAGTTATGTATCCTGTAAATTAGAACCACACACAGAGGCAAAGAAATCTTAATCTAGAGCCACCTGGCTAGACATCCAAGGAGAGAGAGAGAGCCTTGTTGTTGTTGTGCCACAGATTAGACGGATGGGTTTATTTAATCTCTTTCATATAAAATACTTATATCTCACCTTTCCACTTGATAAACTTTCAGAGAGAGAAAAGGTATACCAAAAACACAAATCATGAAAACCTATAATGGGGCTGCTGCCTAGTTGAAGAAACCTGAAACCAATCAGTTTATTAAATTAAATTTGTGCACACAAATACACATATGCATTAAAACAGTGTGCACACACAAAAAAATGTGTGTGGGAGAAGTTTTGCAAATACAATTATTAAACTAGAGGCTTTCACAGATGACTTCCTCATCTTCTCCCCTCAAACAGTCCTGGGAAAAATAGTTTGTTAAGGGTCCTGGGGGTTTCTTAGGAGACACCCCCCCATTCTCCTCTCAGAGCTATACTTCCCAGAGTTCTCTGTGATGAGGGATCGATTGCTCAGCCACGCTGGGAACTGTAGCTCTGGGAGGGAAATAGGGGTCTCCTAGCAACTCCAAGCGTCCTTCACAAACTACAGCTCCCAGAGTTCTTTGGGAGAAGCCATGAGTGCTTAAAGTAGTATCATGATGCTTTAAACGTACAGTGCGAACATGGCTGCTTGTTGTGCACAAGGAGGGGAGAGGGAAGTCCATTTGTGCAAGTGAAACTCTGTCCGTGCGGTGCTAATTACAATTCACATTTTTTTAGTAATATTTTAAAAATGACTAAAAGTTGCAGTCCTAACATCTGCTGCAAGCAAGTTTCTCTTTTTCCTCTCGTTCATTCTCTATCAGGCTGCGCTTCCCATTTGTAAAATGGGCACAACAGTGACATAATCTAAGGAGTTTGTCTTCACTGCAGCCAAGACAGAGAGCGCAGTGTAGTTTGCAGCTAAATTCTGCATCTATAAATTACCAGAGAGGCAAAGGATGCCTGTAGGCAGATGCTGTGATGAGGGGGCTTTTTATTAGGTGAAATGCTGTGCTGGAGAGCACCTGTATGTGTGTCTTTTTTAAAAAATCTGATCTCTCTCTCTCTCTCTCTCTCTAGCTTACACATCTGGGAAGAAGCTGTGGGATGTCCCTCCATCTCACACAGACCAGCTCGGTCCAGGAAAACTGCGGTGGGAGCCGCAGTGCCAGCATCAATTGCGCCACCTCCAGGATGGTGCTAGAATTTCGGCTGTCCTGCCTCCCAGGCTGGAAGGTCACTGGATTTCAACAGGGTAAGGAGTTTGTAGCAGTGTAAAGGGTAAATGTGCAGTTCTTGAATACACTGTCGAGTCCGCGACCAGAAGGAGGAGGAGTATCAGGAAGAATGGACAAAATTTAATGATTATTTAGTTAAATATGTAGAATTAAATTAATTGGAAATAGCTTGCAGATACTTAATTGGCTTAGGATTTCATATAAGTTAAGTGATGAATCAATATGTTTAATTTTAAAATTAAAAGATATAACGATGTTAATGTTTTAGTTAAATTTTATAAGAACTTTGATTTGGAAAACCGTTAAAAGGAAGTGCATGGAAATTCAAGCAAGGGGGAAGCGAGGAAGTCGCTTAACAATGTTAATAAGTGTAATTTTAATAAGGTTATGATCCATGTTTGTTTGTTTATTTGTTTGTTTTGTTTATAATTTTGTGAAAATCAACAAAATGTTTATATATGTAAAAAAGCTGTTGAATACACTATCTCTTGTGTGTTTAATTGCAGGTGGGGAATTTTGACTAATAGAAAACATGTCTTTATTTTGTTGCTTATTCCAGTTTGAAAGACAGTGAATGTCTGAGCTCCAAATTGCTTTGCCTTCTTTGGCAATTGCACGGAGCCCCAAATCTAACAGTGCCACTAATACACTAAAGCAGAGTTCTATGTTAGAGGATGGTCTATTAGGAAATATTTCCAGTGTGTACTTTGTTCATCACTTCTCTTCGCGGGGCCTGTACATGACTCCTTGCGGCCAGGGGACTTTATTTTCTGTTTCTCTTTATAGAAAAAGTAATCCTTAACTTGCAAACAGAGAATTTGGAAATCTTAAATCAGGAGTGGGAGTTCTGTGGCTCTTCTGTTTTCTATAAGCCAATATTTTTTCAATCTTCAAATCCAGGTATTACAAGTTCATGCATAAAGGGTTTCTGATTCTTAATAAATATCAATAATGATTTTTCACTGATTAAACACATTTACTTTGCCATCTCAGCTAAGTCCAATAATTTTATCAACCCTTCCTCCAGCCAGATGGGCGGAGCATAAATAATAAAATTATTATTATTAGTAGTAGTAGTAGGTAGGACGGTATCTGTCCATATTTATGCATATATCAGTCTCGCCCTGGAACGGCACACAAGTTGTGTGAAAAGGGCAGATTGTTCCATGAGGCAAGCAGGAATGCTGATGGAGCCATCTGTTTAGCACTATGTTGACTTCCTCTCTATCCTCTGGAGGGGGCCAATCTCTATAAGGTCTGCCCAAAGTGAAGCACCAGAACTTAATAAAACTCAGGCCCTGCCGAACTTGTAACTATCTGCTACTCACCAGCCATATGGGATTGCCCACTGGAGACTTGGTAAACCTATTTGCTGCTGATATTGCCTACCTGGGGCTGTAAAAAAAACAACAACAGGCACAGGGGATCCAAGCACCTGGTAAGCCAAAATATGTGGTCATTAGGCTGCATTCAGTTTGGGGTGGGGGACAGTTTACATGGGTGGTATCCAATTAAACCGCTCCACTTGTGCAAGGAGTTTTAGCTTTGCAATGGAACTTCCCAGCCCTGCATGCCTTGTAAAATCTGCTCTGGAGGGTTGCAGGGAGCTCCATAACAGATTTAGGGGTTGCTGCTTTAAAAAAGAAGAAGTTTGTGTACTTGAAATAAATACTGCATCCTTCCTCCAAGAAGCATTGGGTAGCACCCATGGGGTTAGTCTAGGCAGTGGTCCACACTGGCTCTCCTTTATGACCAAGGAAATTTAATTCAGATAATTAAATGTTGTTGGTTGAATTATATCAAATTAGATATGGTACACCAATTTGCCTTGCCTTGTTTGTTCAATCATAGAATATGAATGTTCCGTTTGAAAGACATTATTGAGATGCCCTGAATTCAAAATGCTAATGAAAACTTTGCATATCTTCAAGGAAAAATGCATAAAACATTTGTTAATTAATGGACCTTCGTAGCCAGCCCTTCACCACACAGTCTAAGGGTACATACAGGTCAGTTCAAATACACCATGTAACAATAAATTATGATCCCATCTTCCACCACCAGAGGTCTCTGCAAAAAGGTCTCTGATGTTGAACTGTATACATACAGTGTCAAACCCAGACGCATCTCAGAAGGGAGGCCACCACAGAAAAGACCCTCTCACACACCCATTCTGTTTCCCCATCCCAGTTCTTAAAATCTCCTAAGCTAAGATAGTAAGATGACCATATTTCATTCCAGTATGCCACATATTTCAACAATTTGTTGGCATAACGTGATTCTTGAGCCATAGCAGCCCATCCCTATTGTGACAATCTGTCAGTGTTTTCCCAACTGGAATTCCCTTTGAGCTCCAAGTTATGCAACAACCAGAAAACAAGTAATGAAGTTTCCGTTTTTCTAGCACATTCATCAATATAGTATATATTAGGGGAGATGTATTGCAAGGGCTGTAATTTAACCAAAACGTCCCTCTTCATTCTCAGGTGTGAGGTACGTCCAGGACCTGAATTTCTCACCCGGTCCTATATGTTCTACGCCAACCGCCTCTTCAAAGCCTATCAGTTCTACTACCGGGACCCTTCCTGCCGGGACCCCTCTTACTCCCTGGTCATCAAAGGGAAAGTCAGGCTCCGCCAAGCCTCCTGGATCACCAGGGGAGCCACGGAAGCAGATTACCACCTCCACAAAGTTGGCATTGTCTTCCACAGCCAGAGGGCCATGCGGGAAACAGTGGCTCGCATCAACCAGACTTCGGGAGAGCACTGTAGCGGGTTCTCACCGGCTGGGCGGACTTGGGCTCCCGGTGCCCTCTATGAGCTCCTGAGTGCCAAAGCAGAGCGGGATTGCACCGCGGGCCTTGGCTTTGCCATGCACGAACTCAGCCTTGTACGAGTGGAGAAGTACCAGCAGCCCTTGTTCCTTCAGCAGAGCCAGGGGAGCAGGGAGGTGGAGGAGCTGTATCTGGGGGACATCCACACAGAGTGGTCGGAGAGGCTCCATTATCGGCCAACAGGATACCAGCGCCCCCTGCAGAATGCGATGGTAAGGGGTACATCTCATGTGGGAATGTGGCCAGATGGGATCTCCCAGGCTAAAACATACCCAACTCCCCCCAACCGTTCCTCATAAGGCTTGGTTCCCAAAACCTTGATCAGACCTGGCTGTTACAAAATTGCCCAGGAAGGACTGCGCCCCTCAGATTTACGTTTCCAAACACAATTCAAAGTGTTGGTGCTGACCTTTAAAGCCCTAAACAGCCTTGGCCCAGTATACCTGAAGGAGCGTCTCCACCCCTATCGTTCAGCTCAGACACAGGTCCAGCGCCGAGGGCCTTCTGGCGGTTCCCTCACTGCGAGAAGTGAGATTACAGGGAACCAGGCAGAGGGCCTTCTCGGTAGTGGCGCCCGCCCTGTGGAACGCCCTCCCATCATACGTCAAGGAAATAAGCAACTATCTGACTTGTAGAAAACATCTGAAGGCAGCCCTGTTTAAGGAAGTTTTTAATGTTTGATGCTTTATCGTGTTTTTAATATTCTTTTGGGAGCCGCTCAGAGTGGCTGGAGCAACCCAGACAGATGGGCGTGGTGTAAATAAATAATAATAATAATAATAATAAAGGTAAAGGGACCCCTGATCATTAGGTCCAGTCATGACCGACTCTGGGGTTGCGGCGCTCATCTCGCTTTATTGGCCGAAGGAGCCGGCGTACAGCTTCCGGGTCATGTGGCCAGCATGACTAAGCCACTTCTGGCAAACCAGAGCAGCGCACGGAAATGCCATTTACCTTCCCGCCGGAGCGGTACCTATTTATCTACTTACACTTTGACGTGCTTTCAAACTGCTAGGTTGGCAGGAGGAGGGGCCGAGCAACGGGAGCTCACCCCGTCGCGGGGATTTGAACCTCCAACCTTCTGATCGGCAAGTCCTAGGCTCTGTGGTTTAACCCACAGCGCCACCCGTGTCCCTAATAAGAATCATAATACTCCCCTAAACCCTGGTCTGGAGGGGATGGCAGGCTCAGTGGACACTGATGTTACCTTATGGGGTCTCAGTTCTGACTGGTCCTCCTCTAGTTCATATGAAAAAAAAAGGAGCAGGAAAAGGGGGGGGCAGAGAAACATTATCCAATAAACCATTATCCCTCAGCAGAGAATGCCATTACCAGAGGAAATAGCCCTGAATGTAATTACGGGCGGCAGGCCTGGGATATACAGAACGCAACTTCCAGTGCAGCTGAAACAAGCCGGCCTTGGTTTCTTTCTCTCTTCACCCCCACCCCCCAATTTTTTGTCAGGAGCTTGGTTTCATGCCCAGAGCGTATTTTTTAATCAAAATCATAACTAATCAATTGAGAAATGTGATTGAACTGCAAGATAGGACAAGGAGCAATGAGCGGAAAAGGGCTCATGACCGTTGCCAGATGGGACCAAAGTCAGGGCTGAGGTGAAGAGAGGGGAGGAAAAGCAGCCCCCACCCTACACAATATTGCAGCCACTGGGATTCTTGAAGGACGAGGCGAAGGACGAAAAACAACCACCTTTCTGAGGCACATGCTCAGATTGGCATTAAAGCCAAGTTATCTTGGGCCAAAACCATATACGTATGAGCTAAACCAGATGGTAAACACGAATTGCTTTCTTTTAAAAAAAATAAAAATTAATTTAAAACCCAAGCTGAGGTGCGCTGAAATACAGTGACTTCACTGCAATGCTGCAGTTAATCAGCTCACAGTTCTACGCGGCTTGTTGCTGGCGGATGATGTCACTGCCTGGGGAGAGTTAGACAGTGTCACTTGCCTCCTTTTCACATAAGTGGAAGTGAGAAAGGGTTTTTGGCAAGGAAGAGGAGTCTGCAGATTTTTGGCTTGCTTTCGTGGCCACCCTTTATTTATTTATTTGCTACCAATCTTTGGGGAAGGACAGTAGCTCCGGTGTGTGTGTGTGTGTGTGTTACTCTCTCTAGCATGCAAAGGGGTCCTGGGTTCGATTCCCGGTGGCTTCTGGGGAAGGGCAAGGAGAGGTAGGAGAGGTGCTGTCCGCGTCAGTGCAGACTACTCTGAGCTACATAGACTACATGGCCCAACAGTGTTGTATGTTCCCTCCTTGTATTTACTTGCATGTGCAGATAACTCAAAGGACGGGCACGGCAGTTTATGGCAAGCTTTGGAGAAGGGTCAGAAGGAGCATAAATTCTTTGAGGCTAGAACAAGATTGGAGAACAGCCAGTCTCTGTGCCAATTGTGGCCTGCCAAGGAGGTTCCAGTTTCCATGAGGCAATTTTCCTCACACCCGTCAGTGACATCAGCTGATGAGTAGGAGTGGGTTTAGCCCATCAGGGAACAGGATTTCATCTCCACTCATCAGCTGCTGAGCCTGTGTTTAATAAGGCACTTTGCAAAAGCACTCTTTGAAGCAACTCCACGCTTCTCCTTTTATTTAGTGAGTGGTTGTGGATAGTAGATCTGGATAAGAATCTCCAGAGGCTGAAATGGGAGCATGGGGGCTGCCTTAAAGCCCTTTGCAAACAGCAAAAGGGCTTTGAAGCCACCGCAGGTTCCCAAGTATCCAACAGAGAGCTAACTGTTGCACACTGTTGCCTTTCCAACCTGGTAAAATGCAAAGGTAAAGGGACCCCTGACCATTAGGTCCAGTTGTGACCGACTCTGGGCTTGCGGCGCTCATCTCGCTTTATTGGCCGAGGGAGCCGGTGTACAGCTTCCGGGTCATGTGGCCAGCAGGACTAAGCTGCTTCTGGCAAATCAGAGCAGCGCACGGAAATGCCGTTTGCCTTCCCGCCGGAGCTATTTATCTACTTGCAGTCTGACATGCTTTCAAACTGCTAGGTTGGCAGGAGCAGGGACCAAGCAATGGGAGCTCACCCCATCACGGGGATTCGAACCGTCGACCTTCTGATTGGCAAGTCCTAGGCTCTGTGGTTTAACCCACAGCGCCACCCGCGTCCCACCTGGTACATTCCAGATATTGGACTGCAGGTGCCATCAGGGTGATGGGAACTGGAGTCTAAATAATCTGGGGTTCATAGCCCGGCCAGTATAAGGCAGCATAATGCCTCTCTGCATTTTTCTTGCACTCCCATAGAAGTTCAGCTCGCTTACCGACCTCGAGATCAGCCACCAAGTCAGCCAAATTGCTCCAGAGTCGGCGGCTGGTGGGTCGGAACCAATCACAAAGAGCAGAGGTTTCTTCCAAGCCCCCTGCTCTGCATAGAGGAACGTCTTTGATTTCCTCTTAAATATGTTTTAAAGAAAAACCACTCTTGGGAAATTATCTCCCAGTATTAAAGTATTTCCTGCTTTAAAAATAAAAAAGGCTGGGAATATTTAGCTGCAATGCCCTGTGTACCGTCAACGCTCCTCAAGAGTGACAGTTGTGGTAAGGCGAGTTGAAAATGGCTTGGTTATTGCAGACTTCAGTCAGCGCACATGCAAATTGCCTGCTAAGTGCAGAGTTACAGAAATCTCATTCCCATGCAAACACGGCTGGCGTCTTTCAGAAATCAACCGTATGCAGCAACCCAGGCTTATGAAAGCAGATACGGTTCACTGTAAATTGTTATGTTGCCCATTTCTATAATTAGTACAGGAACACGTTTTTAATGCTGACTTAGAAACATTTCGGGTTATATTCCCCCAGTGTACGTCAGATGAAAATATGTACATTACTTCCACATGAAACGAGGCTAGCTCCTCACAGTGGGGCAGAGAGGAAATTGCTTTTATACCATTAAATAAACTACCAGATACCACTCTGAAAAGTTAAACCTTTCCCCTGTCCTGTAGAATTCCGACACAGGCTTCTGATGTTTCGATATAAAAAATCTGTATTTGCCACCCCACCCTTCTCCTTGATGGCACCTATCTGGCGTTCAAATACTAAAACCTGCAGGATTTCACAATTTAGCCTAGACCAGTAAAAGTAGCTGCATCTTATATTTTGCCAGATAATTTAAATAAGTCATTATGAGCCTCCTGCAAAGGATAGAGCTGGTGAGACCCAAATCACCTCCTAAATTTGCTGAGAGATCTAAATTTACATTTGTTGTTGTGGGTCACTGCCTCCCCCTGCAGTCTTTTAAGCACCTTCCCACACCCCCTGGTCTTTTGTATCCTTAAAATCTAAACCTATATGTTTGGTTTTAATTTTTTTGGTCGGAGAAGAAGAATAAAACAGCAAACATGTTTTACTAATAGTAGAGCAAAGAGGCTGGTAAAGTTAAAGGGACCCCTGACTCTTAGGTCCAGTCGTGGCCGACTCTGGGGTTGCGGCGCTCATCTCGCTTTATTGGCCGAGGGAGCCGGCGTATAGCTTCCGGGTTGTGTGGTCAGCATGACTAAGCCGCTTCTGGCGAACCAGAGCAGGGCACGGAAACACCGTTTACCTTCCCACTGGGGCGGTACCTAATTATCTACTTGCACTTTGATGTGCTTTCGAACTGCTAGGTTGGCAGGAGCAGGGACTGAGCAACGGGAGCTCACCCCGTCGCGGGGATTCGAACCGCCGACCTTCTGATCGGCAAGTCCTAGGCTCTGTGGTTTAACCCACAGCACCACCCGCGTCCTTAAGAGGCTGGTACAACCAGGGGAAAGGACAGTTTTGCCTTGCTCCCTTTCTGCAGAATCTCTTCCTTCCCCTTTGCGGAATGCAGCTTCCCTTGGTGAAGAACATGCCCGTTTTTAAACAAGCAATGAAAAGCCTTGCTGAGAACTTGTCTTTTCCTTCCCTTCCCGCAGCATCACATCCAGCCGTGCCCTGCCTGCGGGATTATATACCGAGCTGACGAACACCACCCGCCTGTCTTACCCCTCAAGCCGGACCTCCCCATGCTGCTCAGCGGCCGCTGGGTCAGCACTCGCTGCGAGGTCCGCCCGGCCGTGCTTTTCCTCACGAGGTACTTCATCTTCCACGCCAACAACCGCAGCTGGGAAGGCTACTACCACCATTACTCCGACCCTCTCTGCAAGCAGCCGACGTTCACCGTCTACGCTCTCGGCCACTATACCCAGGGAGCGGCGTCCCTCATTGTGCGAGGAGGTACCGAGCTCGTCTTCAAGGTGACCCGCGCCCGGGTGACGCCGATGGATCCCGTAACTGTGGCGATGCTGAACTCCTCCAGCTTTGGGAGCTGCGGAGAAGCCGGTGCCTGGAGCGTCGGGCAAGAGCTGGACGTGACTCACACAAACGGATGCGCCGCACTGGGGATCCGACTGCCCCACACCGAGTACGAACTCTTCCGAGTCGAGCAGGATGCCAAGGACCACAGCTTGCTCTTCATCGGGGAGAGGCCGACCGATGGGTCAAGCCCCAGCACACCCAGCAAGCGGCCCACATCCTACCAGGCCCCTCTCGTCCAGTGCGGGGGCCCCTCAGGAGCCCTAGCGAGGCACGTCAAGCCAAGTTACCTGGGAAGAATAGGCGAGGGCAACAGCAGTGGGGCGCTGAAGACACTGTCTTGGGCAACCCTGCTAGCATCTCTAGCTGTGCATCTGGTCAGGTGGGACTAGAAGCCCAGATGTTTTGGTCACTGAGCTGCTGCATGGAATCCAGACAACCTTAGCGTTCAGACTTACATGTATGCACAACAAAATGAGCACACTGGGGAAACTGTTTCGTTTTCTACCATGCCAATACGCACTCTTATTTTTTCTTAATGATAGGTGACGCCTGTTGGATGTGCTTTCCCCTTTCATACCTGCCTAAGTATGGAGATGGGCATCTGAACTGGGCCGCTTGGTCTCTGATGTAGAGGGCACCCTTCGGCTTCTGATCAGGTGGCTTAAATTGTACCTAACGCACCAGAATGGCCCGTTTCAATAGGTGTAGGATAGACCTGCACCCTCTTCTCCCCACCCACCCAAACAAAAAATAATAATTCTCATGTATCAAGAAGCAATTCTGCTTTCATGGGTCATGGGACAATTTCAGATTCGTTGCTCTGGATTAGCGTCATAGAGACATATCATTTACTATTTTGTTCACAATGTATACCAACTGTTAATAGTATAAAAGTTGGAATTGGGGATCCTGTTATCCAGCTTCCATATAATGTACCATGTGTGAGGAAATATACCTGCATATTCAACTGCTTATCTTAAACAGGGGAGGGGAGGGTGTAAATTTGGTCAGCACAGAACAACCCCAGAGGCTGGGTTTGCACATAAAGCTATACCATAGCGCAGTGTTAATATGCACAAGCAGGCAGATTGTAGGAGCTTAGTTTTACTTCACGCTAATATTTCCTTGTTCTCTCAAGCAAACCAGGGACCATAGTTGTTGGTTTGTTTTGTTTTTTAATCTGGTCATTTTTAAGACAGGCCAACTTCGAAACATTTCGTTTCAAATATTTTTAGACCTCCTTTTAATTCAAAAGTAAATTCCAATGCAGTATACAATTATCAATTATCCAAATACATTAGGCAGGGAAATAGCTACAACTGCAGGCCAATAGCCTGAAAATGCATGGGTGAATAAATATAGAGTTTTAACACAGTTTCAAACAGTCATTACTAGCAGTACGTGCCTTATCTCAGAGCAGAGACTTCTACAATGTAGAAGCCACCAAGGAAATGCCCTTGCCTTTGGATGCTGCAAGATGGATTAATATAGGTCATGGCATTGGCAGAAGGACCTCCTCCAAAGATCTTAGTGAATAGAAAGGTTTAAATGGGATAAGGAGTCTTTTCCAGGTAGCCAAGTCTCAAGTTCCTTAGGGATTTAGGTCAAAAGAAGAAATTACGAAGCTGGCTTGCTTAATGGACCAGTTTCTTTGAACGACCATTTCTCTTTCGTATGGCATGACAAGCCAGGATTATCAGAAGGCGAAACTAAACACTAGGTCATGTGGGAGGAGAGAGGAGAGCCCTGCCAAGCCTGGTGCTTTGCCTGGGCTTCTTCCTGCTCATGCAGTGTTAAAACAATGGTTTTGCATTACGTGCGAACCTGGCCACAATGTCTGCTTTGTAGGTGTCGTGGATTTGTTTATATGAGGCCCTTGGTTATTCTGAAAAAGAGCGTGAATCTAGTCCTTAGGAATAAAGATGATAAAATGCTAAAGACAGTCACAATTTAAAAGCCAGACCAGGTACAAGGTGCAATTCATTTAGCCATGTATGTGGAACTCAACCGAGGTGCTGGGATTGGAAGAAACCAGTTCACATAAGGTCAATGAATTGTGCAAGCCAGATTTAAGCAAAGGAAGCTGCCTTAGACAAAGTCAAACTATTGGTCCACCTTTCTCAGTAGTGTCTACCTGGCAAGTTCTAGATGGGGCATTCCCAGCCCCACCTGGATACGCTAGGGATTGTGCCTGGGACCTTCTGCATTCAAAGTGCATGCTCTACCACTGAGCTGCGGCCTTCCTTTTGTGAAGACTGACTTTCCCCACCCTGCCCCACATACCTGATTATCCTACTACACCTGCAAAGAAAGATAACAACTATTGGTAAACAGAAAGATGCTCAAAAGGGCATTTGTTTACAGCCTCAGCTGTTCTACTCCACTGTGAAAAATAACCCAGTATGAGTTTTCTGGCATCCTTCATCTCTCTTAATCAGTCAACAAAGCAACATCCAATTGAGTTAACTCCGAAATACACAGCTGCTGGCAACAGGCGAAAACTCGTGATTTCTTGTCTGATCAAAACTTGCTTGGCAGCCATTCCTTGGAGCTGTAGAGTTCCAGCCGTTGCATTCTATGAAGCAATTTTTATTTTCTGGCAATAAGGAGCTATGCGTTAAAAACATCCTTAAGGGAGAAAGAACAACCATGACAATCTTCAGTAACTCAGGCTAATGTGCATGGCATTGTATTGTCTCAAAACCACTGACTCCTTTTTAGCTATAGAGTAGATTCCTAAAATAATCATATCTCCTTGGGACTGTGTGTCTTCTCCAAATCACTGAACTAGCCTGCCCACCCCCCCAAAAAGAGAAAAACCCTCCAGCTATGCAACTACAATTTACATGGTATATTTACAACATTTTTGGCTAATATGTAGATTAATGATGGGTTTTTATACAAGTACCAGTGGGGAATTGTGCATTAACTGATTCAGATGTAATGCTTATCTTAATGTACAAATTTTTAAAGCACAAAATGTATTACAGCATGTTAACTTTTTTTTCTACACAGGGAACCTTTTTTTTCAAGCCATGTATATAAAACAGCTGCCCAACTTCTAAAAATGGCTACATTTTGTTATAGGCACTGACATAATTACATAAAGTACTTCCGCTTTTCCCTTTTGCTGGCCCATTTCTCTGCAATTCAAGATCTCTGTTAGAATGCGGGTACCTTTTCTGGCTAGCGGGCCAGATCCTTATTTCCCCACCTGTGACAGGCCAAATTTGATCTGTCAGTCACCTGATGTCACTATGATTCTATGATACTTCCATTTCTAAGCCCCGATTGCTAGGAATTCAAAATGCTGCTCAGGGCTATTTAAAAGCCCTTTTGCAAAGAGCCCTACACTGCTATTTAAACCTATGAAAACCAGAGTGTCAAGGAACAATGTAAAAGGACTTTCAAACAGCCCTACATTGCATTTTGAAGCAGAACCCAGGATTGGACAGTTAAATTCTGCTGTTTTGGCTGCCCAGGAACTGCCTGTTCCCAGTAGGGGAATCGGTGTATGCAATCAGCACAGAATTTAACCCCACCCAACTCGTCAACTGACAGCACCGGCTGACTGGACTAACATCAGACTGGTGGTTTCCTGGAGTATCTCACTTCCCATCAGCACAGCCAGCATGACCAATGGAGTCCAACATAATATGGAAGGATTCAGATTTTCAACTCTTGGGTTAGTGTGGTGTCTTAACACAGCTAGGGTCTGGTGCCTGGGATCCATGTTTCTGTGTGTCCTGGTAAATGTGAAAATCTATTTCAAGTAAATGGAACCAGAAATATGGGGAGAAGTCATTACTCAGTGGTGGGAACACATATTTTACCTATGAAAAGTCCAGGTTTTTAATTCTGGTCACCATCTATTGAGTTCAGGAGTGCAGAGGGTCTCCACCAGAAACTTTGCAGTCACCATCTGGGGAAGATGAAACACTTGATTGGACTGGACCATGTGTATTCATGGAAATGTAACTTTATAGTGGGGGGCGAGAGACATAGCTGTCACAGATTTGAAAATAAGGGACCAGCAGCCTCAAAAATAAGGGATCACCAGCCAAAATAAGGGATTTTCCGGGCACAGGTATGTTCAGCTTCTGAGCTCCTCTGAGCCAAAGGCAGAAAGCCCAGCCAGCAGCCAAACAAAGCCTCATCTGTAAGGGACAGCAGCGGGACATGGCGCTGGGATAAGGGACTGTCCCACCAAATAAGGGATGCTTGACAGCTATGGTGAGAGAACCTGCAGCCCAATTCCATGTGGGTGAGGAACGTTCAGCACGACGACAGGAGTGGGGAAGGGCCAAAATGTATGAAGCAATTAGTGATGGGATAAGAAAAAAGGCCCTCTTGCAGGTGATCAGATTTTTGAGCAAAAAGCCATTTGTTTTCCTCTCTTCTGGCAGTGCACTGAGGGGAAGCAAAAACAAGGCAGACTACCTGCCATGTAGAATGCAGCCCTTAACAGCGTCCTCACTGACTGATTTACATGATCAAAGACTTCAGAGTTGCATTTCTTCAGCCAATGTTCATTCGCTGCTCTCTGTGGTTGATAATACCAAATAGTGGTTAAGAGGTTCCTCAAGCCACATAACTCAGTAGATACTAAATGTGGTTTATTTGTCTGTTGTGTTTATTGAATGCATAGCCCACCACTCATCTTTAGTGACCTTGGGATGAGTCTCAACAATATAATAGCCAAGAGAAGACACAGTTAAAATTCCTAGTTGCTAATCCTTCTTTATAGTCCCACTTGGCTAACTTTTTGCCTGCTAGTTGTTTGGGGCTATAAAGCCCAGCAACCCCAGCCAGCACAACCAGTTAAGTCTACGTGCCATCAAAAGCTTGCCAGGCCAAGGAGCAAGACATCAGAACCTGCTATTAGTGCTAGGAAGGGTCTGCTTTCCTTCTCACGGGGCTGACGCCTAGGCTTTAGCAGTGTAATCAATTTCCACATGACCAAATCCTCAGTTCTCTAAAATTTAGACAAAATGTTTAGACAAACCAATTAATGCCGAAGGTCTCAGTTCAATGTCCAAATGGATTAAAAAAGCCACCCCACAACCAAACCCTAAAAACAGATTTGGTACTACAAATCTGAATATGTGTGTGTTCAGTCTGCGAAACAGACACCAGATGTGTGTAATTAGCTCTTGCTATTTATTCCATCCAAAATAAATGCACACATCCTTTGCAGTTTCTTCCATTTTCATTTCAGAAACAGTAGTAGGTCATAAATGCATAACAGTTTTGATTGAAGCATGAAGCGGTGCTTGGAATCGGTTTATGTTGAATAATAAAACCCCCAGAATACTCTGAACAGAAAATGCTGTGAGCGAACTCTTGGAATCATGGACTCCTAGAAGTGTAGAGTTGGAAGGGGCTTCCAAGGATCATCTAGTCCAACCCCCTGCAATGCAGGAATCTCAGTTAAAGGACCCAAGGCAGATGGCCATCCAACCTGCTTTAAAATGTCCAAGGATGGAGAGTCCACAACCTCCTGTTCCACCATCAAATAGCTCTTAGAAAGCTCTTCCTGATGTTGAGTCAGACCCCTAGATCCTTTTCACATGTACTGCTGACAAGACAGATTCTCCCTATCCAATATTGGTGTGGCTAGTTTCCACATGACCAAATCCTCAGTTCATCTACTCCAACCCTCCTGCAACGCAGCAATCTCAACTAAAGCACCCTTGATTTCTGTGGGTTAATCTCATAGCCTAGTTCTATATGGCTGTGGGCCTTTACTTGTGCGGTGGCATGAACCCATAGAAAACTGCACTTCCTGCCAGCAGTACTGCAATGGTTAAAAGCACCACAGGTATGATGGGACATACTCCCGGAAGATGAAGGCTGTAAAATCTGCAGGCAGGCACAAGCTAAATCTGTGGTCCAAACAGCAGAAGCAATCTCTGGTGGCAGACTTTTATTTTAAAGTGATCACTTGTAAGCAACTCAATGCTGTCCATCCATAACTTCCGTAGATAAGACTTTTTTTCTATTTGTGCATGACACGTCCTCTTCAAAAAAAGGCAAGTCACATTCTTACTTACCGTATTTTTCGCTCTATAACACGCACCAGACCATAACACGCACGTAGTTTTTAGAGGAGGAAAACAAGAAAAAAAATATTCTAAACGAAATAGTGGATATATGATTTTTGTGGTTCATGCTGTGGCCACAGACCTGTGATCTGACAGTGAGTTTGGAGTAGCCCAATGCAAAAATCCTGAGGATCCATGTGGATCCATGCTTTGTAACCACGGAGGAGGGAAGGAAGGGGAACCATGGATCCTCTGCTCACGACTGCAGCAGATCCCCACCCCCACCCGCAGGCATTCGCTCCATAACACGCACAGACATTTCCCCTTACTTTCTAGGAGGAAAAAAGTGAGTGTTATGATGCAAAAAATACGGTAAGTTGCTACTTGTTATGTGTTTGGAAACAAAATTAAGTTAGGAAAAAGTGGTCATCAAAACTAGGCAACTTAAGGTCTCGTTACGGACAATTCACTTTCGCAGCATTGAAAGCACAAAATGAAGCAATCAAAACAGGGACGGAACTCCATTCGTTTGGGGGTAGATTTATTTGATTTTTTTTTTTAAAGATGCTACATAGTCAAACAGGATTGGTCTTTTTGTTTTTAACAGCATAGAACTAATTCCTACTAATTTTTTTCCCCTACATAGACTTATTTTTATATACAAAAACAGTTTTCCTGGCCGCTGTTTCCCCCAATGTTTAGATGGTCGAAAGTGAGAATTATGTCGTGCCCAAAGCATCAGGAGGAGGAAGAGTCCATCGTTACTACAGCAACAAAAGGAAAATTTAGTTCTATTCACCAACTTTGAACAGGTGCCTTTTCTTCTCTCTTTTTTTTAACCATTTATAACAGTAGTCAAACTTCTGTGACGGTAAAGGAAACATGAGATGAAATACAGTCAGCTTGCAACTTAATGTGCATTTAAACTTAAAAACAAGAAAATTAAAGAGAGGGGGGCACCAGCAATCCCACCTGCCACTGCAGTGAGCTTGGGAGAGCATTTGGAGGTGCAGGGACTATGTGTTTTGAGTATATGAGATTTTGGCTTCATGAGCTATCCCTGGAACGTAAGTTGAGAGTTGACTGTGTATTAAATAAGTTAAATATGCATTAAACATTTGGATATAAAGGACTTTAACTCAGCTACGTGAACCAACAGCAAACAGTAGCTTGGTCCCCTTTTAGAACGAGGCATTGGCCCTCCTCGCCCCACGCAACCTGCCACACAGGTGACTGTCTAGTGGCATTTTCCACACTGTTCAATGGGGCTGCATTCAGTTCCTTTCAGCTTTCCATTGACTGGTATGTTAATACCAGTGGTGCTAAACCAAACGTACCCAACCTGGTGCCCTGCGGGTGTTGCTGTTCCCCCAAACTCCCCATCAACCTCAACCAGCATGGCCATTGGTCAGGGATGAGGAGATCTGGAATCTAGCAACAGCTGGAGAGTAGTCGAAAGGAAGGCTGGTCTAGACCTACCGTCCCACAAACGAGACAACCAGGTTGCTTAAGATTCATGACCTTTGCCCCCAAGTTCTTCCATGCACATGTCCCCTTTTCAGCCAGTTATAGGTCCAAGAGACTCTTATTCCTTGAGTGCAGCACCATTCAAGAAAGTCAGCACTAAACAGCTGATGGGCAAAGGAGGAGCATGTTATTTCTCTCTCGAACTGAGCTGTTGAGAAACGGAGAATGCCCCAGAGACTGAACTAAGCTGTGCTACTGATGGGCACAGAACAGCAAGTCCCATTCCTTCTCAGGTCCAGAAGACCTAATCCCTGACAGCCTTTCTTCTAGTTCAGGACAGAAACCTGATCTCCAAAAGCTTCACGAGAAGGTAAATGGCAAAAGGCTGAAATAAGGTCATGTAAGCGGAAAGACACCCCCCCCCATGTACAATGCATAATGTGGCTAAGCTTGTGAGAGTCTGCCGAGGGTGCAAGCAGAGGAGGAAAGGTTTGCTGATGGATGCGACAAGCGGAGGATGCAAAAAGGACGCGATGGACGAGGCAAGAGGTGCATGGTCCCCATTAAACATGATGCCATCTTGACTGGAAACACAGAGGGACAGGAAGAAACTATTTTAGCAAGACGGGAGGGTTCAGATACAAAATGCGATGGCTCATTGCAACGCTCCTCTTTCCTACAAAGCCTGGCTAAGAAAATCACGCCCGCAGTTCAAATCGGAGCACATCTGGTGCAACACGTTGAGTTGACCACAGCTGGAAAGTAGGCTCCTTGTGTTTCCAAACCACCACTGGCAATTAGGTTTCCTCACTGCTAGACTGACATGAGCAAAAAAGCATGTGGGTGACCCTCTCGTCTTCCACTCCTCCTGCTACGGCCTCCAAAAACTTTTGGTCGCCCCGTTTCTATACATAAGACTGGCCAGGGCCAAATTTCAGAAACCCGGTGCTGCTGGCACCCTTCTGGATCATGAACCTGCTCCAAGTCCTCTCTCCTCCTCATCTTCCAAGCTGCCCAGTTAGTGGTTCACAGCTCCTGCGAATGACGCAGGACATAGAGAGGCAGGGTCACACTTAAAGAGCGTTCAGGGTGAATAAACAGCTGCTTGGGGAGTTACACTGCTGAGACCCAAGTCACACCCACTTGACAGAACTGTTAAAATTTAAGAGGAGGAGGAATGGTGGGTTAGCCTATTTTACAGTAACGCCATCAACCTCACCTGCCTGAAAGCCAACCTCTAAATAACCAGAAGGATCTACTCTTTTTCAACGGAGGAACTTTTTCTTTTTCCCCCCTCCAAAGAAGAGAAGTCCAGTAATTGGGATGAAGGTCCAAGAACTCTTTGAAGTTTAACTTTAAAAAAAAACAAACAGAAAAACCCACACACACACACAAAATGCACCTTTATAGTGTTAAAATACATGATTTTGTCCTCACTGCTCGCAATCAAGATGTAACTCGCCTCTCTTCTCCTGCTCAACTCCTTGTACGTTTTATGCTTTCTAGAAGATTATGTTATGTTAATGTTATATTTGTGCAGGGGTAAAAATTTAAAAGGCAAGACCTGTGAGATGTCATACATTTTCTTTTTTTAAACATTTGTTATGAATAAATTTAATACCAATGATATGGCAGATCCATCAATCCAATTTACAATCCTCAGCATGCTGCCTCTACAAGGCGATTTTCCCTATAATGACGCCAATGATGAAGAACAGTACCACCAGGGCAAGTAGTCTAGTGCTGAGCCCCTCTTCCTTCACAACAGGTGCTGCTGAAGCAAAGCCCGGGTGGTTTGTCTGGGGCGCCTTCCTCATCCGCAGTCCATCTTCTTCCTGCAGCAAGGATAATTTTTGGAGATTAAAACAAATAAATAAATGCACTGAGCAGAGGTGTGCATTAGAAACTCAGCCTCCATTCTGTGCTGAGGTGTAAACAATCTGGGGTGAGATAATGTGCTCCCTTTTCCAAGCAGAAAACTCCGCTCTACCTAAAATGTAACCAGGGTTCCTGCTAAACCTGGAATCCAAAAACAGTCCCCCTCCCCAAGCTGGACTGATCAGGAACTGCAGTCAGCTCTAACCTCTGTTAATGCAAGTGCCGGTGTTATAAGAAACCATAGGCAGCCAGGAGAAATTTGGACCAGAATGGAAGTGATGGGAAAAGACAGCACACGATCCTACAATCTGTCACTAACAGATTAACCATGGTTAAAAAACCCCCCACGTCTTCTAGTTAAGCTTGTTGTTACTCATTTTGCCATCATTCACTACTGTGGTAGATTTTATGCATTAACTAATTTCACAGATTCACTCAAATAATTACTGCCCTGTTCTCTGGCCAAAAGGCACCTAGAGTGGCTAACAACTGTCTAATACGCAACAACAGATCAGGGTAAGGCCAGGTCAAAACAACAAAAAGCTATTGTTTGTTTTAAACCATGGCTTAATTGTGAATGTTCCTGCTGCTCACCTTCTCCCAATAAGCCATACCCCAGAACAAGCGTGGTACGGCTTATCATGTGAACCTGGATTGTGGTTTATTTCAAACAAACCAGAAGTAAACCAAGGACAACAAACCTCGGCTTATTTCCGGCCTACCGCTTGTGGTTTGTTAGAAACAAACAAGCTATAGTATCCGATGGCACAAACCATACCGTGTCTTGTTTGTACTGGGAGATGCAGCACCCAACATAATTAATGACTTAAAACAAACTACAGTGGTGCCTCGCAAGACGAAATTAATTCGTTCCGCAAGTCTCTTCGTCTTGCGAGTTTTTCGTCTTGCGATGCACGGTTTCCCATAGGAATGCACTGAAAATCAATTAATGCGTTCCTATGGAAACCGCCTTCAGACCAGGTCCGGGGACAGTCTGTCCCCCGACCTCTTCTGAAGGCTGGGGGGGGGGGACAAGGGCTTTTCTTCCCACCCCCAGCATTTTAAAAAACCCCGGGACAGCGGAGGACTTCTCCGCTGTCCGGGGCGATTTAAAAGCCCCTGGGAAGGCAGGCAGGGGGGACAAAGACTTTTGCCCCCCGCCTGCCTTCAGAAGAGGTCCAGGACCTCTTCTGAAGGCGGGCGGGGGGCGAAAGTCTTTGCTCCCCCCCCCCGCCTGCCTTCAAAAGCTGTCCTGGACAGGCTTCGCGGACCTCTCCGCAAGCAGCGGGAGCGCTCCAGCTGCTTGCGGAGAGTTGCCAGCATGCTGAAGCCTGCGCGCGCTGAGATCAGCGCGCCCAGGCTTCGCGGCCCCGACGCCCGGCTTCGGAGCATCGTTCCGAAGCCGGGCTGCGGGGGGAGGCGTTCCCACCCCGCCGCCCCGCTTCGGAGGAGCCTTCCGAAGCCTGGCAGCGGCGGGAGGAGGTGTCCCCGCCCCGCCGCCAGGCTTCGGAGGAGGTCCGAGGACAGCGGGGAAGACGCGCTGCGCTTCCCCGCTGTCCCGGAGATTTCCCTATGGGCTTTCGTCTTGCGAAGCAAGCCCATAGGGAAATTCGTTTTGCCAAGCGCCTCCAAAACGGAAAACCCTTTCGTCTAGCGGGTTTTCCGTCTTGCGAGGCGTTCGTCTTGCGGGGCACCACTGTACTGTATTGGTTGTATTCTATGTAGGCTGCACCAGTGCAAGGATTTTCCTTGTGAGAGGGAAGCTTCTGCCCCCCTCCCCCGCACCCCCAAAATCTCTTCTTGGAGTTCCCCCAGCCCTGGCAGGGAAGGAGAGGGCAGAATTCCTGTTGCACAAGCAGGAATCCTTGTACTGGCCTCCACCACCACAATAATTTAGATGAATGCACCTCTGTTACTTAGGAGTGATGTGTGAACCAGCATGAAACAAATCCCCAGGTGTTATTAAATGCCCAACAAAAACACAACTATGCCAGGCAGTTTGCAATACATGCCAATACTTTAACTTTGTCCTAAGTGTCAATGGGTTGACCTTACCTTAAATTGTTTATTCTCCTCTCGTAACCTCTGAACTTCTAACTGAAGCCTCTTACATTCTTCCATTACTTTCTTAACTTCGCTGTCATCCAAAGAAGAACTTAATGATTTAGACATTACAGAAGATTCTGTCTTTGTTGCAGCTGTGGATATAATTTTATTTATTTCTACATCATGCTGTTGAGACAAAAACAACAACAACAGAAAGTTTGTTTTCATTTAGGGCACTTCAAATCCTATCGTTCCTCTCTTTACAAAGCACTTAGGACAGCCAACAATCTCAGTCAGCCTTCCCCAACCTAGTACATTCCAGGTGTTTTGGGCTACAACTCCCATCAGCCCCAGGGAGCCAGAACGCTTTGCATACTGTATCTATGACTATTTTTGAAATCCCATTGCCTTGCCCCAACTACTGTTCCCTCATCTCTGGGATGGAAGATGGAGAGTTGTGCTTGTGTGAGAGACAGAGATGCCAACAGCCTCCTACAGGTACCTATTCTACTTGAAGTCTTAATGTTAGTGCTCTAGTGAAAGGAGTATTAAGTTTCTAGGGATATTTGTAATCACTGCGCAGACTACTTCCTTATTCTCTCAATAGTTCCCAGCCTTCATTATTTTTCACATAGTACACAAAGACCCAAGTTCTAAATATGGGTTCCTCATTGCACCCATTTTGCAATGGCTGACAACTGCGATTACAAACAGGGCCCAAAGATCTGAGTGACCAGCCAGGCACAAGGGTATTTATGTGTTCAAAAAGCAAAGCCAGAAGTGTCCAGGAACACCTCTCAGATTGTTGGAAGTGTCCTGTGTCAAGCTGGTGAGGTAGCCCATCTAGAAGGAAAACTATGATCCTAGACCCTCACTGCGTTGTGTGACATCTTCGGGAGAAGAAAAAGCTAAGGAATTAAACCCTACACAAATCCAGAGTGCAGTCCCTAAGGCAGTTGGATAGCGTCTTGTATGCCTCTTTCCGGCAACTCCTGCAGCCAAGCTGGTGCTAAATGTATCTGCTTTCCTTTGGACCACATCAGTGACTTGTTCTCTGGGCAGCCCAGGACCTCAATACACACTGCCCAGGCTTGAGGTCACTTCAGTGCTGCAAATGCAGCAAAAACAGCAGTTACCTAAACACACCCTTCCTTGGCAACTTGTGGAACGTTCTATTTCTTATCTGACGCTGAAATTGCATCACAATCTGGAATACTAAGAGCAATGGCTAAAGCTACTATTTGCTGCCTAGTCTCCTGCCATTGCAACTTTTACAGATTAAAAGGGAAAAAGCAGAAACCTGGAATCCACAGTCTACTCTTATCGCAATATGCTGCAATTCCACCTTTTACATTGTTAGAGGACTAAGCGCCAGAAAAACAACCACCATATATCTAAAGGCATGGCTGTGACTGCAGAATTGCAATGCACAATCCTATGTAGAGCACAGGTGCAGTTTTAGTAATGATGTGCCCATGACATGATTCTGTGTGAGAGAAGAAAAAGCAGGGAACATATTGAAGAAAATCAGCTTCACCCACAGTAAATCGATCATGTTTAAATCAATTTTATTATAATCTACGAAAATATTTTAAGTTGACTATAAAAGTGCCTCTTTGCTGGGAAGATTTGTTTTGAACATTTAATATAGTTTCTGAATAAACCACAGCCTTATGTTTGGGCCTTGAAATATATAGCTGGTTTAAGTGTCTAGATATTTCAGACACTACCTTTTACTTATAAGCAGCAGCTGTGCCAAGTACAGAAAGTAACAATTGCACTCACGGGTTTATCGTTTTCGGCCGGCAGCTCAAACACACATCTAAGTTTTGAATCCATGAGTTCCTCTGGCTTTGCTTCTTTCCACTAAAACACACAGAACGGAAGAAAAAGTTAAATTTTAAAAGAATGAAGTCTTCTTCAGTACTATGCAGTTTGTTTCCCCGATGTCTCTCCAATGTCCAAGATACCTCCCAGAAGCAAAGTGAAACCCCCCTATTTCATGGATCATTCGTAAAAAATAAATAAATATGGAAATGTCTATCTAGCATTCTGAAACACTTCTGAGAAAGTTTCAGAAGGGCCAATAACAGGCTTTAATGAATCTCCCAGCCATGACAAGCATGGTGTCATCTTCTGCTGAATGTGAGGAACAGCCGGCGTTTCCCTCCGACTGCGATGCTGCAGAGATGGGCGAAGATAGCTGGGAAGTCGTGCAGTGACGCCTGCTATCTTTCCACTTGAAGAGACTTGACTATGAAGTGCCAAAGTGCCCCCCCCAATCTCCCTAGGCCTTCTATGCTTTGAAGCAGGAATGGTGGGGTGGTGTTGAATTAGAGCTGGCTGGCGCATGCCAATTGCTCCATTCAATTCTTCGCTGGCGGATTTGGGCAGGGAGAACCATGGAACTGAAAAGTTGGAAGGATCATCTAGTCCAGGGGTCAGCAAGGTTTATCTTGCCTGGGCCGGATCGGCCCCACAGAAATCCCTCCGTGGGCTGGATCGATCGCGTGCACCCCCGCGATTTTCGGTGTCTGCACCTGCGCAGATGCAATTTTCAGCACCGCGGAAGCGAGTCGCCGTGCCGGTTTAGCGCAGCGCGCACCTTGGTTCGGGGGCGGCTTGTAGGCTGGTCAAACGACCTCCACGGGCCACTTCTGGCCCATGGGCCTTACGTTGCTGACCCCTGATCTAGTCCAACCCGCTGCAATGCAGGAATACACAACTGTCCCATACGGGGATTGAACCTGCAACCTTGCCCTTATAAGCACCATGCTCTAACGAGTTGAGCGATCCACTTGGATAAGAGGGATTTGCCTGGGGAGAAAGGGGTGAGGCTTGCTCCTACAGATTTTGGCTTGGCTTATTGGCAAACAGTGAGAGTTCGGATGGAACATTCACACAGTGTGCTCCCAGATGGCACAGGGTGAACTGCACAGGCTAGTTCTGCTTGCATAAGGTTTTGTTTCCCACGAGGAGCACATGCCATTGAGCAAAAATGCAGTGGGACTGCTATTAGCTAGGCCAACTGGTTCCACCTATTGTGCTTGGCTGTAGGTTGCATGCAATGTGCCCCAGAAGCAATCTGAACATCACAAACTGCTGTTTGCTTCTGGTAAAGGGCAAAATCGTTCACAAATGCAAGCCACTGGGATTAACCACAGCCTCCCACAGAGGTGGCACCCCCTAGATAGCAAGTTTGCAAATTAAAGAACAGGTAAATGCTGACATTTTCAATTTGTGTGTGTGTGAGAGAGAGAGGGTTATTAGGACACTGGCAACTGCATTCCAGATTATTTCAAATGACTTCTGCTCAATTCAAGGGGTATTTTGGTCTGTTGACCAGTTCTCATAAGCAATGTTCATTCAAAGTTCATGCTCAGGACCATACTTTATGAGTTAAATGTCTTTTAATGCTACAAGCTAGGGTCAAAGGGACAAGCTATTTATACAACTGATCCGCATATTCTTGTTTTGGTTCCAAAAAACATTTTAGCTTTTTCATTGTAATTGGCGTTCTTTTTACAATCTTAGGCTTTGCTGCTTGTTTTTTGTATTTATACTGCTCTCCTGCTGCTATTAGAATATTTTGCAGCTGCTTTCGTGCTTTACAGATTGAAGATTTGTTGTTGGCAATTACATTATGAGTGAACATTATTGGTTGTATGCAATGAAGTTGTCCCGTTATCACGAGGGGTTCCACTTGTGTAATGGAACTTTCCCCCTCCCTCTGATCTCCCCATGGCCTGCAACCTGCTTGGGAGAATTGGGGGAACCCACAGAACAGATCTGGGGGGGGGGGCAGCGGCAACATGTGGGAGAAGAGGGAGGGAAAGTCCTGTTGCGCAAGCAAGATATTCTTGCATGAACGGAATGACTTTGTTGGATATAACCCTATGCTAATACGTTGTGAGCCACTTTTGGAGAGTTAATTCCTGAAAGGCCGTTCGTAAATATTAAAATAAATAAACGTGCATAAATAAATTGTAGACCTTGCCGCTGGGCAAGATTCACCAGTACTTTACACAGCGATACCATCCAACTCTAGCAACAGATGCAAAATCCGTAGGTATTAACCACAACCTAATATGGATAAGGGTACCCTGAATTTTCCGATGTGGCTCAGCCAGCACTGCCTTCCTCTGTGGAGAATGCGAAGCCACACCATTCCTACATTATGCTGTAAGGGTATGCTAGATGTGGGGGTGACATTCGTGCACTTGCGGTGTTCAAGCATGCCACAGGGCCAACATTATTTACAAATCCCTCTTGCTGGTTTGGTTCATGCTAGAGATGTAAAATGTCCAGAAATGTTGGAAGCTGTGGGGGAAGCAGTGTTTTGTTTCTTCGTCTTTTAAGGAAGAAAAAACCTGGGATCTGTTTTTGCAAAATTTTAAAAAAGCACACCCCGCCCCCCAGAACAGATTTAGGGTACGCATGTGGGGACGAGAGGGAATGAAGTTCCATTGCACCTGGGAAAATCCTTGCATCAAGATAACGTGTTAGCAGGATGCAGCCCAAATATGCTTGCACAGTCCAGTTGCCTAACTTGTTTTCCTGAAGTGAGTAAGTGAGCAAATAAGATTTCTCCTCAACAGACCTCTATGAATCTTGAGGCATCTGCACTCGCAGCAAGACTGCCAGTTCAATCAAAGGTATCCAGATTACTGTATTTTTTGCTCTATAAGACTCACTTTTTCCCTCCTAAAAAGTAAGGGGAAATGTGTGTGCGTCTTATGGAGTGAATGCAGGCTGCGCAGCTATCCCAAAACCAGAACAGCAAGAGGGATTGCTGCTTTCACTGCGCAGCGATCCCTCTTGCTGTTCTGGCTTCTGAGATTCAGAATATTTTTCTTCTTGTTTTCCTCCTCCAAAAACTAGGTGCATCTTGTGGTCTGGTGCATCTTATAGAGCGAAAAATACGGTATCTATTTCAGTTTTCATTTCTTGAAGGTTGTCTGACTTCCATTCCAAGCCCCCACCCCCTTTTATACCGCTCCGCCGTGTCTCGCTATTACACTGTGCCCTTTAAACAACTCGTCGGCTCTTGTTAAAAGGCTTTCTGCCATGATATTCACACAGAAGAAAAACAATGCAGCACCTTGATAAGCCATTTCTCAATACTCACTACTGCTTCCATGTCTGAAGTATCGGGGGGTGCGAACATCGACTGAACCATGAACTTGTGTTTACTTTTTTCATTAGGGTCATAATCAAAAGGCTGTAGCATCACTGAAAAGAGAAATCATTGCCATTAGAACCGCGGCATTTATTGCCACGAGTGCATCTTTGCTCGTTCCCAGAAGCAATTCCTGGCAGCGTCAATAGATGCAAGGAAGCTGGGAGCACCACATTAGTTTCAGAAGCTTAACCCAAGTTGAACAGTGAAAACGCTTGAGCTTTTTTTATACTTGTAAGCTACAGAATTATGAAGACTTGTGCAGCGCAAGGGCATTTGCCGTGACTGCTGAATGGGAGAAGGGAATGCGGTTAGAAATATATCCACTTTGTGTAGGAATGTTATTTCTTGGGTGGCATTTACTCAAATTACCCCGATAAGCTATTGTTTGCAGAGACCAGGTTCTCACCTCTGAAAAATGGAAAGCTGTTACTTCTTTTTACAAACCGTTAAGACAGATGCTTCATGCATCCTCCCCTCATGCACGGAGGGAAGAGCACACAAATGCTTCCCTGCAAGGATAATCAAACAAATGCCCTCTCCTCTTCAATGAGCGCATGAGGGAATAGCAGGGACTCTCCTGTTGACTGCACCCCTCCCATAGCGACACACCTACAGGAGAGTCCTCCCTAGCAGCCAAAAGCAGTGCTTCTGTGTCCACATCAAGGAAAAATTGGTGATTGTATGCACCTTGAGTTCATAAACAAAATTTCCTTATCTACCTGCAATTTCCAGGGTTACTACATTGCATCCCTCCAGATGCTGCTAAACTATAACTCCCACGAGCCCCACCCAACATGGCCAATGTAGTTTAGCTGTAGTTTATAGAGTTGTAGTTTAGTGACCTAGACAGTCAAATGTTAGCCACCCCTGAAGAAAAGCAACTTCTTCAATTTCACATTTTTCACTATTATCATCTGGTTTATATCACTTCTTTTCTCCCTTATAAATCCTGGTCTAATCCTCATTTCCAGTTACAAGCATCCACGGATGATTACATCTGAGGGCATAATAGCTTTTCTGTTTGAGGTCTCCAGTAAAATTGTCTGCCCTCCCCACCCAAAAATCGGGAGGTCTTTGGAGTCGAACGTAAGCCTGGCTACAGGTTTGTGTGTTGTTTCTGCTACAGTCAGGGCCAATGTGTAAAGTATTTGAGTTGTCGACATAAGCAATTCCTTTGCTGCCTGTTCCACCAGTTGTCACAACCCCAGGCATCTGGCACAAACCACGGCTAAGGGAATTCTACAAAACACCCAGAATGGAAAATTTAGGAACTTGTCCGTTCAGCGTGGTATGCTGAACTATGGCATAGTGTGCTGTCTGAACCCAGGCTCCTGGTTCATCTCTCCCCTCGCTAACCACAAGCTGTGGCCCAGAACCTGCATGGTCAAGTCATGCTAGCAAGACACAGCAAGGCTTACCATGTCCAGTAACCCATGATTTTCTACAGCAGCTTAGTGTTTTGTTACGTAAAAAGAATGTGCAGTAATGCAGCAAGGAAAAGCCAAAGCTAGGAAAGAGAACAAGGCCAAGTCTGCGCTACTATGTGAAGGGGTGCACACATACTAAGTTGTTGCTAATAGCAACAGACTACGTTTTGTTTAAAGAAAAAAAACAAAAACATGTTTTAAGAGTACAGAACATTCAGCTTTTCCAAAGCTGAATCTAGGCTTGCAACAAGCATGTCGCAATGAGACGTTTGGCCAAGCCCTGCCTGAAAATCTACGCAATGTTCTATAGTCAAGGACACATTCCGGTTCAACGTGCCTTTCCCACTTCCTGCAGCTCAGATATGCCGGCTCAACTTATTAGACCTTGCACACCAGTCTCCACACAGCAAGCGGCATATAAACAGATGTGAGCCCAACTCCTGCTGCAAATCACCAGGCCCTAATCCACTTCTGCTCCGATGCACCTATGACAGGGGGAAACCCCTGCTGCATTTCCCCGCCATTCTTGTATTGGAAGCATTCGAGAGATTTTCACGCCAACAGGAAGTGAGAAGAGATGCGTGGCTGCAGGGAGTCTATGCAGGGAAGAAGGACCAGGTAGAGCAGGGGTGTCAAACTCAAATTCATCGGGGGGCCGCATCAGCAGTTTGGTCACCCTCAAAGGGCCGGTTTGAGTTCGAGTGTCTTCAAAGCCCATGACACCTTTAACAGCTGGATTAAGTAATGCAGAGCTTCTGGCTCATGGAACACTACACCTTGATTTCATTTGAATACATATATGAATATAAAAATTGTTTCCTGTTTGGCTTGGTGTTTAAGTTACACAAGATGTGCAGGTTTTAATTTTTCTCATTCCCCAAATTTTAATCGAGCATTTGTTTGGATTTCCCCCCCCTTTGCTACCTACCCTAAACCTTTGAGGAGGGCGGGAACTGATGGCCGGACCCTGTAATAACATTGAGGAAAAAATTGCATGATGTGTAAATACCCTAAAAAATAAACCAATTCCTTATTAGCTTTTTTTCCATATATAAATTTTTGCAACGCGCACCCTGCGGAAGCCACGCCTGACGTTATTTACAAAACATGCACTTGCGTATTGAATTTGCTTTTGAATCGCGAATCCCCAGAGGCAGAGGATGCTGTTCATTGGACCGTGCGGAAACGCGCCTAAAGAAATAAAGAAATGAAAAGCAAAAGCATGCCGCCCCGAGTATTCACAGGGTGCGCTCCTGAAACACAAGCGTGCTCTCGGTTTCCCTCTCTCCAATGCGCACGAAGCCGGCTCTGCCCTTCTCTGCGTTCCACCTCGCGCAGGCGCGCTGCGCTCCCGCCGGGACTTATTTCACCCCGGCGAGCCCGAAAAGAAGTTGAGAGCAGCAGCAGCGGCCTCCCATATCCAACCCCACCCTCACCGTGTCAAATAAGTCTTGGCTAGGTAACTGGAGGAGGGGGAGGCCTGCACCTGCGCATAAGGGACCCGAGGCGCCCTGCACACGCGCTGCAGCCCAAGCTTCCCTCACAGATATATATAGACCAGACTACACGGGCCACATGATGAGGTCTGGCGGGCCGGATTCGGCCCGCGGGCCTTGTGTTTGACACCTGTGAGGTAGAGGAAAGGAGCTATGCAGGGACACAGTGTGGGGCAGCCCTGGCTTTAAGCAGCAGGGCAGTCACTTGCACCCATCCAAAGACGTTTTTTGAAAGCATAAGCTGGTTCCTCACGTTCTGCAATTTCACAGGGGGATCCCAAGATATGCAAGTCAGTAAGCTTTGGAGTTCTGAAGAATTTTTCAGCAGGCGAAATCACAGGATTGTAGAGTTGGAAGAGAACCCCCGAGAACCATCAAGTCCAGCTCCCTGCGACACAGGAACGTGCAGCTGTCCCTTAACGGGGATCGAACCTGCAACCATGGTGCCATCAGCACCACGTTCCAACCAAGTGAGCTTGCATGCTACTTTTAAGCACGAGGTGGTCGGGGCTGCAGCACACGCTCCCAGTGCTCTACTCTAGCGTCCTTGGCAATGCCGCGCGGTTCAGGCTGGGGTGCCCTTGAAGGACTTTGGCACCATAGCCTTGCACGGCTTATCAGGACTGAAAGTGGCTTTCCTTGGATTTCTCCAAGGAAAAGAGGAGGCACCACAGATCAAAGCAGAGGACCACAAACAGACTGAGAGGGACTGTCAAATTTCGCCAGTTGTAGCGACATCCTAAGTAGTTTTTAAAAAGCAGGTATTTAAACATTTATCTACGCCTCCTTCCAGTTTAACTAAAGCAGCAGAACCAGTAAAATCCATAACTGTTAGAGAAACCTGGAAACTGAAGGATCAGGGCAAATAAACAGGTGGGGGGGGAAGATGTTTGGTGCAGGTGAGTCTCTGGGACTCTTCTATTCAAGGAGACCAGCCTGCAATCAGCCTTGTCAGCACTCAAGGAATCCAATGAGGACTGAGCGTAAGGGTGTGAGAAACATTAAAACAGGAAGTGGGGAGGGAGCTTCCTGAAGTGTCCTGAATGGCTGGCTGGCACCCTGGCCAGAAGGACTCCACACTGATTTTTTTTTTTAAAACTGCAGGTTCCACTTGTATTCTTTCATTCTGGAATCCAAAGGCTCCCACAGTCTTCTGAAGACCCCACCCTCCCTTGCATCAGGGGAACTTGAGAAGAGACAATTATAGCAAGAGCAGCGCAGCGAAACACTCTGAAAGGGAAAAAGGGCTGAGTTAAGCAATTCCGTGACAAATCACAAGAACATGCACGGCGGATGTGCTGACAGTGCTGTTAATACACCAGCCATTTCCTAAGAAACTGAAGTGTAGGCATGCAATGGACTCCGGAGTCTCAACAGATAGGGATTCTCTCCCGGGAAATTTGCATTCCAGTTAAGGGTCGCTTTAAGGGAGCGAAGAAGAGCGAGCTGCATTTCTAAGCGGTATCGTCTAAAATTTATTGCATGGTTTCTGCTGCTATCCATCGTGATGCTAAGGAACCCTAGTGCGTGTCAGCTGACACCGAGGACAGAAACGAGGAGATCACATGGGAGCCCTGTGATGACTCAGTAAGGGGGACTCAGACCTTGGGGCAGCATCCAAATAACACGTCCTGTCCATGCAAGGTTTTATGTTTGTGTAATAATAATAATAATAATAATTATACCCCACCCATCTGGCTGGGTTTCCCCAGCCACTCTGGGCGGCTTCCAACAGAATATTAAAATACAATAACCTATTAAACATTAAAAGCTTCCCTAAACAGGGCTGCCTTCAGATGTCTTCTAAAAGTCTGGTAGTTGTTTTTCTCTTTGACATCTGGTGGGAGGGCGTTCCACAGGGCAGGTGCCACTACCGAGAAGGCCCTCTGCCTGGTTCCCTGTAACTTGGCTTCTCGCAGCGAGGGAACCACCCGAAGGCCCCTGGCACTGGACCTCAGTGTCCCGGCAGAACGATGGGGGTGTATACTCCTTCCGGGACGCTCTTTCAGGTATACTGGACCAAGGCCGTGCAACAGAACTCCTGCCCCAGCAGGTCCTGAGCCCTCCTCAAATCTGCTCCAAAGGGCTGAGGGAACCTCTAGAACAGATTTAGGAAATGGGCGGGTA